CACATAGGTCCGTTCAAGTTCTTAAACTTACAATTACATCCCTGATGTTCAGATTTCCTTGCCATATATGGTTCATGCCAATTAAATATTAGCTTTCAATAGGCACATGCTGAATTTTGTTTCAAAACTTACTCTCGCCATGCTACAAAAAATTTGTAACTTCATTTTGTGTCTTTTTCATGCCTTTTTTAGCTATATAATTAAATTTTTTTTTTGCTCAATGCACTTGTTAAAAAGTCTAATTTTTGAAAGGATTTTTCTAAAAAGTGCCCCAGGGGAACCTACTTCAACTTAATTGTTATTTTGAGCAAGTAAAAGCACTTGTTAAGACGCTTAAATTACACCTAACTTACCTTATGAATACACATGCTTGTATTATTTGTCTCTCCTGCATTTAGACCATGTTTGATAACCCAATTCAGCACTTAGATATAATGAATTCAGATCTTAATATGTTTAGATGCATTTGATAACCAAAAATTTAACATCTGAATTAATTAAGTAGCACTGAATTTTCTAGGCAAAACTTGTTTTCAAAAATAAATGATAAACTATTCACTTATCATTGAATGTGATATACTATTTGATTTAATACTTAATAATTCAATAAATTAATGGATTCAGATTTCAGATTTCAATTTTTAAATTTCAAACTTCAGTTTTATCAATCGCACCCTTAGATACTTTTCTAAATTAGTTTCACTCTTATCAAAAAATTAATACCTAAACATATAGGACACTCGTTAGATAAATCCATTTCAAAAACTTGAGGAGAATTATTGAATTTTTCATAAACCTCAAGAATGGTTTGTGAAATTTTTCCAGTTATAATCTTGTCGCAACTACCTGAAAGAGCTAAAAGGTAAAGTTTAAAAAGCATGTCCAATAGATCCCATTCTCATCCATGGCAACATGAAAATATCAATTCTAGTTAGTCTCGCTCAACCATGCATGAAACAACTAGTCTAATTATTCTATTGTTTACCCAAGGTATGCACCTATACAGATACTTCAAGTTAACAACATTAACTGCACTTAAATTATTGTATGTTGCAGCTGTAAAGTGCATTTAAAATATGGTTTAGTTTTATTTTTTCAACGTTTTAGGTATAGTAGCTTACACTTAACAAGAATTCTGCGACAGTGCTCATGGATTAATCTACACGAATTTGAACACCTCAACTTCTGAATTTTCAGTTAGTAGTGAAACGTTACAAGTTCAATCTCTTGTACTTTGAGGCATATTCTCACGTTTGCAAAATCATTTTTGCATATAATTATTTTAACCAGTGTAATTTGTTTAATTCACCTATAAGCTCCCATTTTAGCCCCATTCTTCATGGATCTCAACACTTCATTGTCCCATATATAGTTATTGATTTAGTTACTACAAGAATTTTGGCTTTACGGGGCACGTAAATTATGGCGTAAAATGCCAAGATATATACCGCCATAAAAAGTATTCACACTGGATTTGCGGCAGTATACCACCATCTATATGTTACATTTTAGTTTTTATTGTCATTTATACATCAACATAATGTCACATTTTGGTTAGCTTTTTTTTAAAAAATGTTTGTTTAACATGTGACCATTGGACACTCGATAAAATATATTTCAAATGCCATATTTTTAAAAATGTAAGATTAATTACAAAAAGTAAATAAATACATAAGAGGGTAGATAAAATTAAATAGGAAAATTATATAAATGTAAGGGAGGATAATAATTATAGTATATATATATAATAGATTAGATGAATTTTAGATGTATTAACGGGTGCCCATTAAAAACCCTTTTTTTAATTTATTATTGTTATTACTATTATTTTTTACCTCTCATCCCTCTCCACACTCTTTTTAATCCCAACTGTCAAGTCTGTGATTCAAATTCTGAACCTAATAGTGAAGAGCATTTCAAGAACCCTTCCCTAGTTAGCTTGTAAAGGAATAAGCCACCAAAATCTAATGATACATGTATAACTGAGAAAGAAGTAATACTACATATATGCTTAAATTTTAAATGAGATAGATATTGGCTTAGTCCCCTAGAGTGTACTGGACTAAAGTGGCCTCCAGTTAAAGGAGAACAAATTTGAGCCTTAGAGTTTATAGTATAAACTTAAAGAAAAAATTTGACAAGATCTGCATAGTTGCTGATAGTTAGAGTCACGTAAAAGTAACTTTTCTAGACAATCTTGGCTCTTTTGGTATATTTTAACGGCCATATCATTCTTACCCTAGCTAGCAACTGACCAAATTTATCAGTTGTATTTTTTTCCCCTTAAATCAGAATTGAAAACATTGGGACCATTTTCTAGGAGTAGTTGATCGTCTCGTGACATATTGCTTGAGGACACCTTTAAAAACTTACAAATGCTTCTAGAATTTCTCAATATGATTTTTACTTTGGAGGCTTTTGTGTATAAAGTGTTGAGGAATTTATGAAAGAGAAGGTGAGATAGAGAGAAAGCAACTTTGGTTGTAGTTTCTTTCCAAGTGTATGGTATTTTTATGTTTAAAATTTTTGTTCATGACTTGCAGATGACTTATTTTGCTAGGAATCTCTGAATTTCTCAATTGTCTACTTGGTCGAAAACCAAATTGGGAAAATGTTTGGAACCAAAATTGGAATTGTTGCCCACTCCATGAATCACCCTCTAGGGTCGGTGTCATAAACTCTTAAACCAACCAAATAGGGCCGAGCTTCACATGTTTTAGGATTGGGTCGAGAATGGGCTTAAACCTTGGGCCCGATTAAAATATTACCGAGTTTTGGGCTATACAAGGTTTCGGCCTAGATATTGCATACTGCATTTAATAATTCTGAAAAGAATAACCTATATGCCAAACATTTCTCAACGTTTAAACATAATAATTTTTTTAAATAATTATGCATTTGTTACCTATGATTTTATGCTTATGCACTAAACTTTGTTCAAAATAACTACATGAACATGTTTCTTTTTCATTTTATATATTCATTAAAAACACTATAATAAAAGACATCCTGTAGTCTTTAAAACATGATGGGTGGCCCGATCTTGACCTGAGGCTCATGGGCATGAATGACCCAAGATTGGGCCTGTTGCCCAACACGTGAGCAAATTGCTGGGCCAGCAAATGTAACGTTTTTACTGGTCCAAAATAACTCTCATGCTTCGAGAAAGCAACTGCAGTTGCGAATAGGGAACTTGCTCTTTAATGGGCCTTTGAGGCCCCATTTCCATTTCTTGTCTGTTGGCAACACTAGTTTGTTGGGGGCATCACGCGATGCTTGATGTTGTCAGATGAAAGCTATAAAAAAAAATGTATCAATATAAAATATGGAAGAGAGTAATGACAAATGATCAAAACTTGGATAGATTCGATTTTTAAATATTTAATGGTCCAGATTGTATAATACAATTTCACCAAATGGTTATTAGATGTATTAAAACTGAATTTACCTAAGTGCGAGCCTTAAAAAATTAGTGAAATTTGTAAAGCAATAACTAAGATAACCGCATTTAAAAGTTAGCCGGAAGTTTTGAAAACTAAAAGGCATGAGGAACAAACATACCTTTATTGTATTTCACAAAAGATGATTCCAAATTTTATGAAAGAATTTAACCTGCATGCACAAGACTCGTACATGGATTTTTTTAAAAGACTCATTGAATAGTGAGTGTGTTAAAATATACTTTTAAAGACTGAAAATCATACTTAGTGAATGCACTGTTTGTTAAAACTCTACAACTTCTACAGTGATCTACAGTAAAGTTTTAGACAAACTTCTAAAAAACTCAGGTTCAAACGGGCCTACATTCATGAAGTGCATTCTTTCAGGTGAATCATTGGTCGAGACCCATTGGAAAAAGTATCACTATTTGAATAATAACTTGGAAAACCAACGTGATTCCAAAACTAAACAATTAAACAATCAAGGTATTGAACCTAACCACCATGAATAATTAAAATGGCATCTCATATTTCAACAGCAATTACCACCCAAACTAACTAATTTATTAGCAAACCAAACAGGAAAAACGCTATTGACACATGGTCTCACATGATTAGAGTTGAAACTAATCTTGACCAGTAACATATAAAATTGAATTCACAAAATTGTCCACCCACTCAAGGTCTCCTAACACCATTCCTAACCTCAACTCCCTCTTTTTATATGCAAGACTAGATTTTATGAATGTAAAAAATACATGACATAAGTTTGAACTTGTCCGATTCAAATCCAATACCTAAGGTGTTACGGGGCGGGTGTCTGCATGCGGGTGGGTCATTGGGCCCGAGGTGGGGCGGGGGCGAGGGGAATTTTTTCGCCCTGTTTAGAAACGGGGTAGGGGTATACTCCCCCCGCCCCAACCCCCACCCCGCCACCCATTTGAAAATATATATATATATGTACATAATTATATATATATAATGATATTATCAATTATACTACTAATTATACATGTCTATTAATAAATTTTATTAATTATTTATACCAAATTTATTAATACATTTATATTAAATTCCTAACTACACTTAATACAATAACATTTTTTTTTGCAAAAAACATAATAATAATTTAGTGATTGTATTTGTATCAAATGTGAAAACTTGATTATTTTAGTTATATTTGTTTTATCATATTAAATTGTATTCAAATAACCTTTGTTTAATTATTTTTATGAGTTTCAATTTGAAGTTACAATGAATAATAATTTGGTGATGTGTTGAGTTTTAGTACTTGATTATTTGCTCAAATTTAATTATAATGAAATTATATAATACAATTTTTTTAATCTCACGGGGGAAGCTGGGCAGGGCGGGGCCGAGCAGGAGCAGGGGCGGGGCAGGGGGAATTAAAATGCAACAGGGCGGGGGTTGGGGGAGGTATCCCCTGCCCCATTGCCACTCCTACCAATACCCGAGTTTAAATTGAGTTTATATTAGACTCAAAAGAATGAAAATTTTATATGGGACGAGTTTGAGCATATCAAAAGCCAATTCACTTAATCCACTTAACAAGCCTAATCCACTCATCATTGCACTTTGGAATAGGAAATTCAGCATTTTGTATTTTATTACATCGGAGTCAATACATGAAATCCCACAAAGAAAATGCTAAAACAGAAGTTCAAGACTGATTTTCTTGCAAAGGCAGAGTGACTAACATGATTGGGTCAATCCAAAGTGTCCTGGCACTTAAGTTTTAGAACTCATACATTCTACTCAAGATTAGTATGGCGAGCACGAATGACCTCTGAACTCTGACCCAAAACCTCAGCCAATTTGAAGACTACCATCTCAAATAGCACAAACATGGCCCCTTCATACAGACTTCCCATTGGAAGCAATGGCTTAGATTTGGGATCAGCAGCAACCTGATCATCCGCCATAGTCTGAGCTGGGATATGAGCAACCACGCTCGCATGCTTGACACAAGAAGATTTTGACTCAGGCTGAGCGGTCAGCAACACTACCCTTGCCCCGTTGGATCTTGCTACCTCGCAAATTGCATCGACGGTGGAGAAACCCCCCGGTCCGGCCGAAGCAATCAAGAGGTCAGGAGAAGCGATTGGCGGGGTGGTCATGTCGAAGACGCAGTGGGCGGAGAGACCCAGATGGAAGAGCCTCATGCACAAAGCCTTCAGCATTAAACCTTCTCGTCCTACGCCGTAGACGAAGATTTGGCCGTTGCCCTTGGCTGTCGCCGCCACTTCTTCCACAATCACTTCCAGGGCGGTGGGTCCGGAGATGGGTTGTTTGAAAACAGAGCTAATCTGATTGCATATTTGAGAGGCTAGAGTTGACACTGGTGTGGGCTCTGCCATTGAAGCTCTCAGCCACTATTCCCCTCAAAACTATTTTCTCTAACTTTTATTGCACTCAAGAAACACCTTATCTGGAGAGATTGAGGGTAGGTACTGTTGGTATGTTGGCATCAGGATTCAATAATTTGGCGTACACTTACAGAAATAGTTGTACTTATATATTAACTAGAAAAAGAGAATGAAATTGATAATTTAACATGGTTGTAGCAATGAGAAATTTATTCCCTATTGAATTTCTGTCTCTCTATTGATGTTGCTTTTTGTTTTTGGGCAAATTCCACTTTACCTCCCTGTGATTTAGTATTTTTTGTATAATTCCCTATAGTTTTAAAAACTATACATAACCCTTTCATGGTTTGGATTAAAATGTCAATGGGACGGAAATGATTATTCATAATGGAGTCATCTAAAATATCAAAAATACCCTTATGTAAAGTTGAAAATTATTTATTAACCAAGGGGGGGTTGTGTATATTTTGAAAACTAAAAAGGGTTATATGATAAAATATTAAACCATAAGGGGATTATATAATAAAACATAAACATCATACGGGGTTAGTGTATCATGTATTTATAAGGGTAATTTCGACATTTTTAGAAGTTCTGTTACGAATGACTATTTTCGTCATTTTGACACTTTAATCCAAACCATGAGGGAGTTATGTATAACTTTTGAAACCATAGGAGGATTATATAAAAAAGCGCTAAACTACATGGGGTAAAATGTAATTTGCCCTTTGTTTTTTAGTAGTAGAGTGTAGCAATCAATCTATTTGCTTATTGACAAACTCTATCTCTAATTAATGGGTAGCATAAGAAAGTATTGATTTCTTTAGGGGAACAAAAAAAAGACCAAATCATTTGAATCAATTCACTTAGGCATTGATCAACTGGCTTATTCCCCTTCCCAACTCCTTCAAGAATTGTTCTAATGTACAAATCACTAACTTCATGATGATTTTTTGTTGAAGTGTAAGGACAGCTGATATAAATGACAATTTTTATGCTCATGTCTGGAGATACTGGGAGAATTACTGGGAGAATGAGAAAGTTAATCTAGATTAAAGATCAGTCCACTTCAATATACTGGACGATGAGGTCGAGTCTTTCCCACCAAAGGCTCGAGTTTTCAAGTCAAATACTTTGTAATACATTAAATTTATAGTTGAATAGATGAATGGCAGCTGGAAAAGAAATAAAAGTTCACAAAACATAAGATGGTTAAGAGTCATTAATATTATTCTAGTCAGCATAAAATACAAGTTAGAGATTTCTTTTCCTAATTCCCTTCCTTAATACAAGCCTCTGCATCTCCTATCTACTATCTTGCCACATTTCACAATTTCAATTTGCATTAATAATTAAAGTTAAACTAAAACAACTGATATACCACTTGTAATACTTGCTAGAGTTATCAAACAAAGAACATATTTCAATTAGTACCAACACAAGTATCTAACCCAAGAAACAGATTAAATTGAAAGTATGCTTCAATAAGTAGCTCATTCCAGCCTCATTAGATAGATTAAGCCCAGTCACAATCATCTAGATTAAGGACATATTGGATAACCACTGAGTTTTTTTAAAAAATAAAAAAAAGCTGAGATACTACTATTAGCAATATACAGTAACCTGCAGATAGAAAGTACCTTTAAGTTGTACTCCACCATAGAACCTGCCTTCTTACTCAGCAAAGCCAATGCCTTTGTCTGAACAAAACTCTAGAAATCAGTCCATGCTCTAAGTTTATGCTTTTTAATGTGCCGCTTAACAACAAACATCAAATCCCAGTGTAGTTAACAGCAAAATACACCAAAAAAACTCCAGTTAACAATCTAAACTCTACAAGAATGAGCCTAAACTGGAGAACTAATCAGTGATCAGTTGCTTCCCTATTTTGTATTTAACTACCATGGGAATAACGGGTAATCATTTGCTTCTTCTTCTTCTTCTTCTTTTAATGATCAGTTCTAAGATAAGAAGAAAGATTATCCAGCTAGAAAAATCTGCTAAGCAAGAAAAATCTGCAAGCCAAATACTATATAAAGAAACCAGAAATTTAATACTATCTATCACTTGCTTGCGATTTTGACATACTGCAGGTCAAAGCCTCATGTATTTTTCATCCAAGTACAGTTTAATTTCCTAATCATGCAAGTACCACAAAAACTTTGAGAAAAAAAATACGAAAAAGTGGCAAAAGATTAAAAGAAACCAAAAGACATACCTCAGACAGTGAATAAGCACTCTGAATTCCAAATCTTTTCAGGAATAAGATGAATAAGTAGTCTCCTTGAAAAAAAAAAAAAAAAAACCTGTGAGATAGAAAGCTGTGAAGAGGAGCGATTTGGTTTGTTGGATAATTTTTTTTTTCGGTTTGATGGATAATTGGTGGAGGGGAATCGGTAGTTATGGAACGAGTAAAATTCCCATGGAGTGACGATATTGCCCTGAATTTCTTGCAATCTCACATTGTAAAAGCCACAGGAGTTGCTAAAAATTACGCTGTAACCGGTCCACCTCTGTATGATATGATATGGTATGTATCTAATAATGCATTTCAAATATAGGACGTTGCTGCAGTATGTTTAGTAATCAAAGAAGAGGTGTGGAAAGTAAAGCATATGGCAAAGAAGCAGGCACGTGGAAAGGTAAAGAATATGTCAAAGAAACTGACATGTACCGATCAAGAAGGGTTATTTTTACAAAAGTAAGTGGTGACCTATAACCGGTTGTGTTGGGATGTCACGGAATTAACATAAATATAAAGGGTCTAAGAATAAAACATTTGTGAAGAAGCGTAAGCAGTACTAATTACTAAACAAAGCCATCCTGGGGCCACCGATTATGGGCATTACATCAACAAAATACTATCTATTTATTGGTATTTTACTCTGAATCATTATATTTATGTAAAATACATAAATATTTTGGATAGCACGGATATTCACACTAGCTATCCTTGTACTAAGTTTTATGAGCAATTTACTCTGAATCATTACATTTTGGATACTACTTTGATTAGAATTTAGTTTAAAGACATTCACTGGAGTTTGGACGCATCCAAAGAGCACCGATCGATGTATGTTCAAGCGTAAATTGAAATAAATATGCAACTTAAATTTTTTAAAAATAAATTACTACTGCATATCAGAAATTTACTTTTTGGAGAGTAGGTTTAGTTCATACTATTTTTCATAGTATTTTAAAATATATAAGTACAACAAATTTTAAATTATACCTATAATAATGTATTATACGAGTATATTATGAGTACTTACTAACTAAGGTACTAACTTTTAATCATTGATAAAACATCTTATCGTTATTTCAAATAAACTTCCTAATATTAGTTTGAAATAAGTTTTAAAGTAAAATAGTACATGCGTCCCATAAATCAATAAATCTTGATTATTAATCAAATTTGCTATGTTATCAGTAATAATTACTATTTATGTATAAAAACTTACTATTACTTGAATTAAACTTACTAAGGTATATTATGAGTGCTTACTAACTAAGGTACTAAGTTTTAATCATTAATAAAAACATCTTATCATTATTTCAAATAAGCTTTCTATTACTACTTTGAGATAAGGTTTTAATGTAAAAATTGTACATGCATTCCAAAAAATGGTAAATTTTGATCCTTAATCATTTTTATTGCCATGTTATTAGTAAGAATTACTATTGATGTATAAAAACTTACTGTTATTTGAACTAAACTTACTCTTTTAAAAGTAAGTTTGGGATATCAAGTAGTAATCTATTTATTTAAAAATTAAGTTTAATATTTATTCCAATTTACCTTTTGAGGTATAAAAGTTACTAATCTATTACACTTAACTTACTATTTTAGATAGGAAACTTACTTCCATAATTTTAGGTGTTATTTTATTTAGGCGAATATGTCCAACAATAAATCAAATGATGGCTAAAAGTGTAACAACGTGTTATATCAGGTAAAAACTATTGCGCTATCATAACTATCGCTTAGTATCTATATCTAAATGTATTGCTGAGGAGGTTTTGGATAAGGAGCTTTCAAAATTATCAAAAGTCTGAATGCTATTTTAATAGAATTTTACATTTTTTAATTAAAAAATATTTATCTCTTAACTAATCATGTAACCGGCCCTACAAATCCTATAATCATACTTATATTTTTTTCACATTTCCCTTATGTTTTTTCCACTACCCCATAAAATTCAAACTCCTAAACTTTAACTAACGGATAATAACCACCCCTGTAAAATGATATCTGCAAATTCCAATTCACATCTCACATTTATTACTGACACTTACCATATCACTTAGAGTAATAACTAACCGTTAATTTAAGAAATTCGCAACTACGAAAGTCAAATATCCAAAATTTAGGAGTCTGTTTAAATTACAATTTTCACAATTCAACGTATCTTATTGTCATAATATATTTTATTCTCACAATCATTCACAAATTATAAAGGCATTAAAAATAAATAATTTTTTTAAAAAAATTAATTCAAAGGTAGTTAATTCACACACACACAGATATATACATACATATATATATATTCTCATAATGCATATATATATAAGATTATCAAATCGAATGCATAATATTGGTAAGTATTTCATTTTAAAATAAAAAAACATGAAATTACATTTATTTCTATCCATATATCATTCATTTTCTAATGTAAATTATTATTATTATTTTAAGATCCATCTTTTGCAAAAACACAATTCTTGAATGATTTACAGTTTTTGTCATATTTTGAACTATTGTTAGACAAATCTTAAATTTGAATTATGTTGGTATAATTTTTTTAACTTTTTTCAAATTAAAATGGTATAATTTTTTAATTTATTTTAATAATGTAAGTACCGTGCGTAGCACGGATATTCACACTAGTTGTCCTTGTATGATCAAGCCTGAGAGTTTGAGCATGTTTTGGTTGAATGTTATAATTCAAAATTTGGGGTTTGGAGGGAATAGGTTATATCCATTGTAATCAAAACTCAAACAGAAGTGGGGATAAGCCTGGTTGTCACAACGAACCATATAAAGTGGATTTTTTTATTTATTTGCAGAATGCTACCTTATTTTTTCATGCATCAGAATGGATTGATTACAAGTTGCATTTGCTTGCCTTTTGCTAGAATTTTGGCTAATTAACAAATTATACTAATTGTAGAATAGTAAGTTTGTAATCATTTTCAATTTTTGAAAAATTTGAAAGTTTGGATAACAATAACAACAAATCTTCCTAGTTACATATAGAATATCACTTGTTTCTATATCACAATTTTTATAACTTAAAACCTATGAATATAATAAGATAAAATTATTATTTTATAATACGATAAAATTTTATTATTTTCTAAGGTTATGTGAAAGGTCAAAATATTTTTCACAAAATATTTTAAAATATATAAGTACAAAAGAATATTAAATTATACATATAATCATGCATTATACAAGTATGTTACAAGTACTTACTAACTAATGTACTAAATTTTAATCATTTATAGAATATTTTTATTGTTATTTCAAATAAGCTTCCTAGTATTCATTCGGTATAAGCCATAAAGGATTGAATAATTTGAGTCAGTTGCTTCTGTGTTAATTTTGACTGTGGTTAACAAACTCAATGATTTAGTCCGTCTAACTTAGGTTAATGGGAAAATGGGTCACAGTTGGCTGGAAAAAAATAGTAATAAACCCGTTTTTCAATAAAAAAAATAAACTCTTTATGACTTTTCTCTATTATAAGAACAGAGTACCCATTTTCTTAAAAAAAATTATTTATCAGATAAAATAAAAATAAACCCATTTTTCAATAAAATCCTAACTCTTTATGCCTTTCCTCTATTATAAGAACCGTGTACCCATTTTGCCATAAACAAATTTATTTATCGGATAAAAAAAATTTTATTTATCGAAAAAATAAAAATGAACCCATTTCTCAATAAAACATCAGCTCTTTATGGCTTCCCTCCCTTATAAGAAAAGAGTATCCATTTTGCCATAAACAAATTTGTTTATCGAATAAAATAAAAATAAACTCTTTTTTCAATAAAAAACCAGTTCTTTATGAATTTCCTCCATTATAAGAATATAGTACCTATTTTTCTAAAAAAAAAATATTATTTATCGAATAAAATAAAAATGAACCCGTTTTTCAATAAAACACAAGCTCTTTATAGTTTTCATCTATTATAAGAACAGACTACCCATTTTTTCATAAATAAATTTATTTATCGGATGAAAAAATAAATATATTTTTCAATAAAACATCAGTTTTTTATAGTTTTCCTCCCTTCACTACAACAAAAAAGGGTATTAGCGACAACAACTTTAGGAAGAAGTAGAAAGCTTGACGCTCTTAAGAGGCTTATAGCAAGGAAAAGGGCAATACCTCACCAAAAATTGGAGCTAGGGGTGTGCATCGAATTCGAATTCGGTAATTCGGAAGTTTGAATTCGGAATTTTTAGAAATTTTGGTACCTGATAATTCGACCGAATTCGATTTCGAATTCACCAATTCCGAATTCGAATTCGTACCGAATTCAATTCGGAATTCGGTAAATTCCGATTTCACCGATTTCACCGAATTCGGAAAAATTTATATATTATTATATAATATAAAATTTATAATATTATATAATATTATATAAATTTTATAAATTTTATATTATATTATATTATATTATATAAATTTTATAAATTTTATATAATATTATATAGTATAAATTTTATATTACATGTATAAAAAATATATTTATATATTAAAAACGAATTTGAAATCGAAATCGGAATTCGAATTCCGATTTCGAATTGTGAATTCGAAATCGGAAATTCCGATTTGAAAAACTCCATTACCGAATTCGAACCAAATTCGAAATATATGAATTCGGAAAATCCGAATTCGATTCCGATTTCCGATTTACCGATTTCGAAAATTCCGAATTCAATTCGAATTCGGTCGGTAAATCGGAATTTTTCGATTTTGCACACCCCTAATTGGAGCCATCATATACTCTGCGAGGGTGGCAAGGACTTTTCTCGCTTAAAATTCTTGCCAAAAGGAGAGCGGGAAAGCTTCCCTCCAAATACTGATTCTAGTGGGCCAAAGTTTCTATGTTATTGGTGAGAAATCATGGGTGCTTTTTTGTGAAAATTTCAAAATTTTGCTCCCTTTCAATTTTTAGCAGAGCCGCGCATTGAAAATTTTTTAAGCATTCTCGGCACAGCACTTGTCAAGCCTAGCACCACATGAATTTCAAGCCTTCCACACTTGCAAGGCTACTTTCCCAAATATTGTTCTCAGATCAAAGCGCTCGAAAGTTCAATTGCAACCTCCCTGCACCTTTCTCCTTCTATCTCTCTTTCCCTCTCTATCATTTTTCAGTTTCCCATAGACATATGGTTCCCCTCTTCCTCTCTAGCATCCAGATCTGAATTTATACAATCATGGACACACTTTAAAGACCCTTCCGATGCAATGGCAGACTTCAAGGAAAAGCGATGGTGTAGGTTTTTTAATATGTTATTTTAGAAAATGGGTCCGTGATCCCGATTTTGTTAGGAATTGTTGGGGTATGTAGATTGTTAATTTTGATTGCCAAGCTTTCATTTGAGCGATTAGCTTCTAAAAGGTCAGAGAGGCTGTTGAGTCTTGTATTTGGGGTTCTTGGGTTTTTCTGGGGCCTCGCGATTGTTTTGGAGATGGTTCCCGGTTGGGGTCTTGATTTTGATTTTGAATCGTTGGACGGATTTGGGAAGTTCTTTATTGCTGTTCTAATGGGCTGCATTGTGGGTCTCTTTTACATCCCAGCTACGAGGAATGCTCGTGCCTTTTGGCTTGGAACTGATCAGATTCGTTCTAATTTGTCCATAATTTCCTGTGGATGGTTTGGAAGAATGCTTCTTTATGGCAATTACTTGTTAGTTGTATTCACTTCCACGCTTTGGGTTGGCCCGTTTATTGAACTCCTCGTCTGCGATAAATCTGATGGAATCAAAGGGCTTCATTCCAATGGTAGGAACAGATATACTGAGGAGTTGATAGGTAGATTGGGCATGTTGCGATCAGATTTCTACAAGTTCAGGGTTTGGTGCATGTTCAGTTCTGGTATTTTGCAAATTTTGTCTTTGCGGCCAAATGTGCAGATGTTTTTAAATGAAGCGGTACTGTGTTGGTACCAGAGATTGCATGCCAGTAAGGTCCCTGACTTGGATTATAGCAGGGCAAAAGTTTTCTTGCACAACCATTACATGTTTCTTGTAGTTCTGCAGTTCTTTGCGCCTGCCGCAATTGCACTTCTCCTTCTTGGATTATCCCATATTGATGTTAACTTGCTGGCAGATTTCAAGTTGCCATGTAATCTACTGCCTTGCTCTGCTTTGGTCAAAGAAATGGCCTTGTTTCTGGCTTGGTGGATAACTTTTGTTTGGGCTATATTTACGTCAGTGAGCCTTACTCTTTATAGGCGTGGTTTCCTGTTCGTTTCTTGACAATCCCTGCTCTTCATTGGTGTGCTTTGTGTCTGTTCCTTCAGGACAGAGTTGATTGTTTTCTGGTTTCATATGCAGCCATGTGATTGGTCGACTAAGGAGAGTTTGTAGCAACAATTGTTATATGAAAACCATGGCCCTCTCATTCTGCGTTGACTAGTTACAATTTTCCAATGAGCATTAACATTTCTAACAGGTTTTATTCATAATCTTACTTATTTTTAGATTGAGGACAGCTTTGTAGAAACATGTATTGTATTAAAACCATGGCCTTGTCATTCTGCATTGATGAGTTGCAATTTTCTGGCAAGCTGTAACATTTTTCACACGTTTAATTTGCAACATTCTTCATAATGCCAGTTTGTATTTTATTTCACTCCGCTTGGGTAATTCAATGAGGCAAGACATCTTTGACAATGCATAATTTTCTTAAATAATTTAGGATTGAAAATTTGCTTGCTTCTGATATTCTTCTTCATGTTAATGTTCAAGTGATAACTAATTATGGTTGATTTGGGGTTATGATCTCGGCATTGTGAGGGTAAATTTTTTATAGTCCTACTATGGTAATGCTTTAGCAAGCTAGAGGTTCTTGAATCTGATCCTTATCTGACTTACAGTAATATATTTACGTAATGTTTGTTAATGGCAACATGGGCTTAGAAGTAGGTTTTTCAACTGTTTTAGCTTTAAGAAGTTGACCGGTGAGTGGAAGAAACAATTATTCTTAGCTGTGTTGAAGTCATTAAAGGGAAATGTAGAGTGTTGGCCTTTGAATAATGTACCATTACAGGTTAAAGTACCTCTTTTTTTTTTCTCTTCTTCTGGTTATTTTCATCTCTGTTTTGTCAATTGCCTTTTTCTTGCATTTTTGGTCAATTTAACAATCGCAAGAAAAACTCTATTTGACAATATATTAGTATCTCTTCAGGTGAAATCTGGAACTCTATTTGACAATGTATTGGTATCTGATGATCTTGAATATGCTAAGTTGGCTGAAGAGACATGGGGCAAGCATAAGGATGTATGTGGAATTTTTTTTCCCCAAGCGATGCACAAAAAATAAAAAGGTTTAAATTACTTTCGTCTGCTTGTTGACACATGAAAATGTTCATGTTGTAGGCTGAAAAAGTTGCTTTTGATGAGGCAGAAAAGAAGAGAGAGGAGGAGGTACTTTTCATTAATTCTCCTCTGTTGCATGATGTCTTGAGTACATTTGAATTCCATTTCTGTATAGTTTGGACTTTGGACTTCCTTTATACTGCATTATTTGAACAGTGATCATTTGATTATGAAGAGACAACTTATATCTCAAACTCCTGTCTGATTTTGTTTCAGGAAGCAAAGGATGACCTAGTCGATTCTGATGTAAGTTCCTGACTAAAATGTTGTTCTCAAAAGAGACTCTTTTTGCTCCAGATTTTATCTATGATATGTTCTTATTACGTGCACTTTCTTAATGGGAAAAACTTGTTCTTTTAGGCTGAGGAAGGCGATGATGATGATGCAGACGCCAAATCAGAAACAAAGGAAGATGTTACTGCCGCAGCTAAGGAAAATGTTAAAGTAAGGGCTTTGTCTGATCCTTCAGTGCTGAGTTAACCATGATGATTTGTTATCAGAAATTTCAATTGTTTTAACTCTCTTACTTCCATCCTTTTGCAGGACGAGCTGTAGGAAAATACGTGCGAATGCTGTGGTTGGCCCAACATGCTGCTGCGAAGAAGAGCTTTGTTGGCAATTGAGCTCTCGACATTTTTCATTTTTCTTTTGGCTATTAGCTGTAGAATTGCTGTTTAGGGAAAAAAGATATTGGCTTTTGGCTTTTGGCTTTGAGTATCTTTGTGCTTTGTACCGTTGAAAAATGGTTGAAAAAAAAAGTAGCAACTACAGTCACAAAGCTGCTTTTGGCAACTTTCTTGCAAGAAAATCATTTAGTTGCATTTGATCGTCTTTGGCAAGGGGTCGATGGTTTCTAATTAAAGAAGTTACTTATTTATGACAAAATGGGCACTCTTTTCTTATAATGGAAAAAAGTCATAAAGAGTTGGTGTTTTATTGAAAAATGAGTTTATTTTTATTTTATCCGATAAACAAATTCCTTTTTACTTTCAAAATGGGTACTCTGTTCTTATGATGGAAGAAAGTCATAAAGACCTGGTGTTTTATTGAAAAAATGGGTTTATTTTTATTTTATTTGATAAATAAATTTGTTTATGGAAAAATGGATGCTCTGTTCTTAAAATGGAGGAAAGTCATAAAGAGCCAGTCTTTTATTGAAAAACGGGTTTATTTTTATTTTATCCGATAAATAAATTTATTTATGGAAAAATGGGTACTCTGTTCTTATAATGGAGGAAAGTCATAAAGAGCTGGTCTTTTATTAAAAAATAGATTTATTTTGTATTTTATCTGATAAATAAATTTATTTATGAAAAAATGGGTACTCTGTTCTTATAATGGAGGAAAATCATAAAGAGCTGGTCTTTTATTAGAAAATAAATTTATTTTTATTTTATTCGATAAATAAATTTAGTTATAAAAAAATGGGTACCCTGTTCTAATAATGGAGGAAAATCATAAAGAACTGGTCTTTTATGGGAAAGTGATACTTTACACAAAGTGATCGCAATTTGGTTTATGAAATAATCCCAAATAAAAATTTAGAATGAATTTATTTGTTTTGAAAGTTGTATAACGGTCGTTAAAACTCCAGAGATTGGCAAAAAAACTTTGGGGCTGCATAAAGGCAGAGCGAAGAAGGTGAAGAATTGAGCTTTTTGTCCGTTGCACTTGTTCCATTAAAAATGGCTCTATTCGATTTTACCCATTTTTTGTTGGGTAAAATCGTTGGTTCTAACGATCAATTCTTTATTTCCCGTCAATTGTCCTTAATTGGCCAAAATTACGAAACTTTGAGGATGCTATATGTTTGGGGTGAAACTTTGAGGATGAAAAGTGCATTTTTTTCTATAAAATATTTAATCAAATGTTATTTCTTGTCTTAATTTTTGTTATGACTATATTACATATTTATTAAATAGACATACCTTTATAATTAAAGTTAATATTTGATATTTTAGGATGCCATATATTTAAATAGATGAAAATTATTTTGAATATAACATATTAAAATAATTTTATTTGTCAATCATTTTGGCCCCCCTCCAATGAAAAAATCTTGATTTCGTCACTGCTTAGGAAGAAATTGGGGTCTATTGCTAATAAAAGATTGTGAAAATTTACCTTATATCCTAATTATTTGAAAAAATCTAATGAACAAATTTTGCAAAAAAAAAAACCTTGTTTCTTACCAACAAATTAAGTAACTAATAAAATCACCTGTAATGTTGTTTTAACATATTTAATTTATGTTAAATACAAATTTTACCAGTTTCTCTTTCGTAAAAATATAAGTATAACACCTTTTCAATTTTAGTTACAAACATTTATTTATTTTACATAAATATAGTGATTCAGAATAAAATACCCATAAATAGCTAGTATTTTGTTAATGTAATGCAAAAAATTCATAAAGAGCTGGTATGTTATGGACGCAATCTTTTTTACTTTCACATATTTAAATTTTGTTAAATACAAAATCTACCAGTTTCCCTTTGGTAAAAATATAAGTATAATACTTTTTCAATTTTAGTTACAAACATTTATGTATTTTACATAAATATAATGATTCAGAGTAAAATACCCATAAATAGTTAGTATTTTGTTGATGTAATGCAAAAAACTCATAAAGAGCTGGTATGTTATGGGCAAAAACTTTTTTACTTTCACATATTTAAAAATTGTTAAATACAAAATTTACTAGTTTCCTTTTTGTAAAAATATTAGTGTAACACTTTTTCAATTTTAGTTACAAACATTTATGTATTTTACATAAATGTAATGATTCAGAGTTAAATGTCCATAAATAGCTAGTATTTTGTTGATATAATGCAAAAAAAATTATAAAGAGCAAGTATGTTATGGGCAATTTATTTTTTACTTTCAAAATCAGTTTATGCTAAATACAGGACAATCAGTTTACCTTTCACAAAAATATTAGTGTAACAGTTTTTCAATTTTAGTTATAAACATTTATTTATTTTACATAATTGTAATTATTCAGAGTAAAATGCCCATAAATAGATAGTATTTTGTTGATGTAATACCCATAATCAGGAGAATTAATTGGAATCCATTATTTCTCAGTCTTGGACGCTTTATGTAAAGTAGAGATATTTGTATTCAATTAAATATGAAACATGCAACAATCTGTCTTCCCATGAACCCAGTTAGAAAAATGAGAAACCAAAAGAAAAATAACTCAAATTTATTAAAAGTCCAAAAAGAATTTAGTACTTCAGCTCTAGAAATCCTCCAAATGACTATATATTAGAACAGCGATAATCAAAATAGATTACATAATTAAAAAACTTAATGTTTCAAACATTTATTTTCTTAAGTTTCACTTTTTAAAGGCTCTCAACTCGTTATTCAATAATATCCATATGTTGCTTCAAAACCAAGCATGGCTGTGTTTAGTACTGCTTACGCTTCCTCTTCGGTGTTTTATTTCTAGACCCATTATATATATGTTAATTCCGTGACACCCCAATACATTTTCAGCTTCTGCCATACACAACATTTCCAAACCGGCCCGTGCCTGTTATAGGTCACCATTTGCTTTTGTAAACATATTCCTTTCATCATCCGTACATGTCAGTTTCTTTGACATATTCTTTACCTTTCCACGTGCCTGCTTCTTTGCCATATAATTTACTTTCCACACCTGTCTTTGAAATATGTGAATACACTACAGAATTTACCTTCAAATATAAAACGCACTTTATTCATGTTACGAATTGATTTACTAATTTCAATTTCCACATACACTTGCCGTTCCTAAAGAATGTTTAAAAATTCAATCTTTCTCCCAAATGATATACAAATTCTTGCAAGTGAAATTATTCAATAAAATTCTGGAAACAATTTATAATTCAATAAAATAAATAAAGAGAGTTTAATACTACAGTGTTCGACTTTTTTAAACTCATTTATTTTCCTGCTGCCATGCTTGTCCATGTGCCTGTTTACATGTCTTATATATGTACAATTCTTAGAATGTTGCCGGTTATTGAGCTTGTCTTTAATTTGTGTCTTAAATAGTTTGAAATGAGCATTCCATTTCTCCAAACCAATGGGGAGGTCAGAGGGATTTACAGTATAACATGAACAGATGCAAGAACACTATTAACATGTTCTTCAAATGAGCATGTTTAAACATTGTTTGAAAGTAGTTTTAGGTATGGGTAGAGCTGTTAATCGAACCGGGTAACTCGAGAGCCGAGCTCAACCTGGCTCGATAAGGGTTCGACTCAGCTCATTTATTGAGAGAAACGAGCCGAGCTAGAGTTCAACTTAATGCCCGTTTAATAGACGAGCCGAGCTATGCTCGACTCGTTTAAGCTCGACAGGCTCGAATAGTAGGGGTATTAGCGTCATTTCATTGTGTATTTGATACTCTACAGGCTCGAGTTTGAACTCGAAACTACTATAAATAGTAGGGGTATTAGCGTCATTTTTATTATGTATTTGATACTCTACAGGCTCTAGTTCGAGCTCGATAAGTTCGACTCGATTTTGAACTCGAGTTCAAGCTCGAGCTCGAGTTTTCTATCGATCATATCGAGTCGATCTCGAATAGTTTGTAAAGCTCGAATTACTAATCGAGCGAGCTCGAACTGACTCGATTAGGGGTTCGAGTCGAGCTCGATTATCACATGCTCGAGCTCGGCTCGGCTCGTTAACAGCTATAGGTATGGGCTTTGTTGTAATGATCAAGAAATAAGTTTTCATACCATTAAGCATTCAACTTTTAGGTAGATTAATACTTTGAAGTTGTAAGTGGACAGTCCATTGCTTTTACGGGCAGAGTCCATTCCTTTCCCCTTCTACTCCACTCAGTTGCTGTAAAATGAAACTCAATGATTACTGCAAAGTGAAACTCTACTCGGTTAACTTCTGCTCATTTCTCCTTCCTGTCAAAAGGACTTGTAATTCATTTTTCCTCGTGCCGTCTTGAAACCGCTGCAATCGATAATTCAACATAGCTTCAACCTTGTACCTCAAAATAGGCTTTCCTCTTAATGCTTCATATCAGAAATGGTCCAAGGACCTCATAAGTGTAGTACTGTGATACAAATCATTGTGATTAAATGCATAAATTTTTGCTTTTATTTGTTTCAAGAGATCTATCGATCAATTCCGATTCTTTCTTTCTTTTTTTCCTGATTCTTTTCCGATCGAGATGTATAAATCATGTTCATAGATTACGGAAAATGTGCAAAAGTTCTATTTGCCTTTGCCGTTCTTTGAGTCTCTTCCCTTTTACATATGGCATTGCCACACCTTTTGGCAGCAACATTCACTAATTCGGAACTTAAATTGAAAGCCATATTTTGACCCGGACATTTTCGGGATACTGTTAATAACATACTGCTATCAGCTTCAAGCCTGCTCTATCTCCACCTAAATCACATTCTCACGAAAGTGTATACCAGATTTCCATGAGGATATCTATTTGACATCCTCACCAAAAATCAGAAATGAAATGGTTTTGGTGTAAACACTAACTAACAATTTTGACTTCTGAATCACCCGTAAAGCGACGTTACTTATCACCTCTAAAACTGCGTTTTTACAGCGTTAAGTTGCCACCTTAAGAGCAAGACTCAGCTTCCAAGCTGGATTAGGTCTTAGGGCAGTAGTTCTTGCAATTTTGGAGGTCCAGATCAATATCCTAAACTGAAAACCATGCAACATGCACATTGGTACAAATCAGAGTCCCATTGAATTGAATAACCATATTTACACTGAATATACTGGCGCTGTCTGAGAGAGAGGATGAAAGACTCAACAGAAGGGAGTTGAATTTGTTTCAAGAGAAATGTCAGCTGTTCATGCCAGACACCTTGTACTTCTTCCTTGGACTTTTCCTGTAAGCTTCTTCTGAGCACATTCAACCCTCTGTTCTTCTCCATCTGAGATTAAAAGCAGAAGTTCTTCACGCATTAAACATGATACTTTAAATTGAAAACCTTTCAAAGTAGGTCAAAATAAGATGTTCTGACCTAAGAAGAATCTTGGCATTTGCCATCTACAATATTCCCTGGCAAAAGATGCGACTATTCTGGTTCTGAATAAAGTAACAGATGCAAAGAATCAGCAATCTACGTCTCCTGAATCCTGACACAATTAATATGAACAAACTAAGACTAACTTAGCCCAACTAACAGGAACTTTTTCACATGCCCGGACCATGCCAAACTTTGTATGGCACAAATACAGGAAAAGAAAAAATCTGCATATCACTTGAATACAACACAGCCAGGAAGTTATTGGCTATTGTCAGGTTTTAAACATTAAACTTTAGGCGTTGGTTTTTCCTTTACTTCAGTAAACAAAAATATTCCACCTCCTACCAGTATTAGCGACTCACAGAAAGTCACGTTTTCTGTCACATAGAGAAAGAAAAGCACTGTGACATTTGTATGACTTACCAAAGATTGAAAACTGAATAGATCAACACCTTACTAGTGAAAAAAAAAACCATGCTCATCTAAACTCTGGACTCTGGACAAATCTTGTTCCATAATTTAATTTCTGCAGAGGGATAAAGACAATGGCACTAGTTCAGGTGCGCACATATGATGGAGGAAGAATACACTTTAATACAGGGCAAACGTTTTGACCAGTACATCTGTCTCAAATTATAGGTGAATTGACTCACAGAGATAAAGGACTTTTACAGGCAAAACTACAAGAAAGCCAGTCCAAGGCAGTAGAAGTAGTCTACTTACTGAGAATCTCAGGGAGTTGCAGTGCCAATCCAACAAAAGCTTCAGGAATTCCTGGTCTATGTAATAACCTTCACAAAGAGAGCTTGAACATCAGTATTTAGTACTCTATATCTAAGTAGAAGAAATACAAGGAATGAAAACAATCAACAAAATCTTGTTCCAACAAAGTGCTAGAGCAGAGCCCTTTGATTTGTATGTTTCGAAATTGCTTGATTTTGGCGACATATAGTAATAAAGTGCCAGTCCACTAATTCTGAATGGAAAGTTCTTCAGGAATGCTTATAAAGTGTAAGATGCATAATAATTTTGTGGCAGAAGCTTCGTACCTTATTACCTCTTGTTATGATTCAAAGCTCAGGACTAATTCAGCTCCTTTACCTCAGTCTCTTTGAAAGCAAACGTAGCCCTCCTTCTGCTTATTGGGCATAAAATAGTCATTACACAGTCAAAAGTGAAAATACAACTCAAGTTCTGAATTAAGGAAAGATTATGTTTATTGATTCTGTGGGGACATCTTCTCAGTGCGTAGCACCGAAGGTTAAACAGTTAGTAGGATAGCCATCAAAGCCTCAAGGGAATATGTCATCCAAGCATCAAGGAAAGTATGAAGTTGGAAGCTGGGCAAGGCAAGGAACTTCAGTGAGACAAGTAGATTTTAAGAAGAAAGTGCCAAAAAATTGAATCATGGGAATGATTATGGATTTATAACTGTGAAAATATTGAAAAAACAGAAATGCAGTCGACCTGGCAAATGTCTTTGGAGTTGGAAATTTATGTAATTGCACACTTATCAAATTGACATTGAAGAGAAGTTTCATTATCATGAGATTCAACCCAAGGCATTCATGGGAATATATATAAATGCTTAAAACAAACAAATTCAAGGTCAAGGGACCAGCAAAAGATTCCCAAGTTAAATCATGAGATGGCAGTAGAAGGAACAGTAACAGTTTGACAAACAGTGTAGTCAAAACAACAAATTGTTGCATTCATTTTTTGGAAGACAAAAATTTTATCATATTCAAAGGAGCACTAAACCTGGTGTGGTAACCTCTGAATGATGAGGGTTCAGCCTGGCAAGTTTTGGACTTAGGAAAGGCAGAATTAACTGGAAGAAAAATCAGATTTCCATAATTCTAATTGTAGATCTTTGACCCCAACCAGAAACAGGGAAATACTCCCCCCAAAAAAAAAAAATGTTGGCCTGAACAACCGCTCTTCCCTTGGTATCATCAGCAAGGCTATCCGTTTCAAATAATCTACTCCTCTGTATCTTTTAATCATAAAGAACAAAAAGTAAAATCCCAAGCAAAACCAGAACAAAAACAAGAGTCGAATCTAACATTAAACATGATAAAAAAATGTTTTTTTATTGCAAATTTGATATTCGGAAATAAATTCAAGGTAGATACTTGGAGACATAAAGTCACATCATGGTTGGATATGAAGAAGTCTAGAGATAAATATTAGGAATATGGGCTATCTTGGGCCACTCTTCGCCAGTTCCTCTGGTGCATCTCTCCTTCAAATGGGGACATCTATTGATTCTCAAAGTGTGTAAATCTGCAAGACATTCCATCGCTGTTGAAGGTAAGTACTTCAGGTTCTTGCATGCAAAAAGCTCCAACGTTTGGAGAGATTGTAATTTCCCCAGCCACTCTGGAAGAGCCTCCAACCCATCAAACCTGATTATTGTTAAATTAGTCAACTTGGAGAGGTACTGCATTTGCTCAGGCAGAGATTTGATCATTGGCCACCCGTACAATTGAAGGGACCTTAAAGAGGCACAATGTTCTTTTATTCCATCAACAGATCCCGAGAAGGTGTCGGGCAAAGGAAAATAATCAATGTTCTCGGAGAAGCCACCAAGGTGCAAGGTCGTGAGGCTTGTCAATTCATAGATGTCCTGTGGCCATGTGGCAGGGTCGGAATAAATGTCTAGGAACTCGAGGGATCGAAATTTCCCAACATTTTTTAACGATAAATTCAACGACTCGCAACTTTCAATTTGCAGTTTACGCAGGGATTGGAGGTTTTGAGTGGCTGGAATAGCTTCAAGATTGGGGCAATTGCTTATGCATAGATTCTCAAGAGATAGAATGCCATCTTGCCATGTGGAATCCTCCCATAGATGGGTCAAATTAGGGCAACCGATCATCTCCAGCTCCTGAAGAGTTGCAAGGCTATTCAGATTTGGTAAACTTGTCAAACTATGGCAACAAGAAATTTCCAATCTCCGAAGACAGGTAAGATTGCTCGTATCCTCTGGTACACTTTCCAACTTTGGAAGCCAATGCAGACGCAGTTTCTCTAGTTTAGGGAACCTCTTGGTTGGAGGGAGATCTTCAAGCTCATCCAAATGCTCCAATTGAAGCTGCACTAGATTATGCAATGACAGTAGATTTTGTCGAACCATCCACTGAGGGAATCTTGACCCTTGGAAACCAACAATCTTTAGACTTCTCAAATTGCTATGAGGTTTGAGACCCTCGAGCACATCTTTATCATTGCTATTCTTGTTTGGACCTTCCCAGTAGAGTTCCAAACTTTGGACTCGAAACTTCCTTGACAAATTTGCCTTCAAAGCAGATTCATAGCTGTTCACGTTTTCAAGGCCATAGATTGTTAATTTACCTCCAAGATTGTCCAAGTATTCCAACTCTTCAATTTGACATCCCTTTTCTTGGCTCACCGAAAAGAAAGGCAATGTTTGAAGATTAGTCAAATGCCCTATCCTTGGAAGCAAAAGATTCTGTGGAGGACTACGACGATATTGCTGAATGTAAAAGTGCCTCAAGTTAATGAGTTTGCCGAACCCCTCTGGAAGCATTACCAGATCAAAGACCCTTAATGTCTGCAAATTGTAGAGCTTTGTAAAGGACTGCGGCAGAAATCTGATTCTGGTTCTTGAGATGTCAAGATACCTTAAATGTTTCAATCTATCAGCAGTCTTCGGTAAGTTCTTGACAGCCTGGTCTTCAACTATCAAGACACGAAGACCTGTGAAGTTTGTGAAGACATCTTCAAGGTCTACACAGCCCCCTACAACACAAAATGTTCGCAAATTGTTGAGACGTCGATCAGGAATCTTGCACAGCGTCCATGTAGCTGAATTATTAAATGACAAATGTACAGCCTCAGCATCATCATTTATACTCATGTCCGCTGTAGAATTACTTTCGAGCCCATCGAAAACAGAGGAAAAATTATGTGACACATATAACGAAAGGTCATGCACAATATTATGCATCCCACAATGTGTGATATTATCATAGTCATCCTCTTGAGTGTCTTGCAACAGAGAACTGTGTAGCAATATATTGATATAGCTGCTACCAACGTCCTCCAATGTCAAATTTTTTTCATTAGGAGAACTAATGAGTCCTAGTGCCATCCAAATTTGTTTCAGCTTCTCCTTTTCTATGAGGGTGTCCTTGGGAAATATGGAACAGCATGCAAAACATTTTTTCAACCACGGTGATGGTAAATTATAATAACTGAGCCGCAATACAGAAAGGACTCCATTTTTATACCAACTACCGTTCCCATACGGATGACCTGCAGATCGAAAATTCCAAATTTCACTTTCTTCAATCCTGGACCACTCAGATTGATCTTTCTGGGGATACATCCAACCGGCTATTTTTGTTATAGCTAATGGAAGACCCCCACACTTTTTAACCATCCTTCGACCAATGTCTACCAATTCCGGATACTTTCCTGCACTCCCATGTCTAAATGCTATTTTCTCAAACAACTCCCAGCTGAGGTCCTCTGGGAGAGGCTGTAGCACGTAGGGACAAACATGAGATGTTCGCATCATTGCAGCAACTCTATGACTGCGTGTAGTTATCAGTATCTTGCTCCCTCCACCAGACATTGCATATAGCAAACAACTCTTCAATTCATACAATTTTTCTTCACTCTCGGTCCAGACATCATCGAGCACAAGGAAACTTCTTCTCCTGGGAATGATTTCTCGAAGCCTCGACACTGGTGATTCTTTACTAGTTGTCTCAACGCGGGCTTCCCCTAGAGATTGCAGTATGTCATTCAAGACTCTGTTCACTTCAAATTTCTCAGATACGTGTACCCACATTCTCTTGTAAAAGCAATACTCTACCCGGGGATGGTCGTACACTAGCCGAGCAAGGGTCGTCTTACCAACACCACCCATTCCCACTATGCTAATGACCTCTAAGTCGTCTACAGAGTCGTCCAACATGCTTGTCAGCACAGAGATATCATTCTCCCTTCGTACAATTGCTTGGTCATCCAGAAAGGAAGCCATGGAGCGTGTTTCTTCCAGCTGAGTAGGCCTGCTCATCAAATCCACTCTAGTAGCCCGGATACCTGAGAATTCTTCATATGCCACCTCTAAAGATAATATAGTATTTTTTATCATACGAGCCATCTTTCCACGATATGAAAAGGGAAAGAAGCTGAGCACCTTATTATCCGAATCGTGGATCTCACTCTGTTGGCGAAGACATTCAATTATCGAGGAAAAAACAAGTGGAGAAATGGGAGCAACAAAGCCGCTTACCTTGTCGCCCCAATTTCTGATCCCAAACTTTCTGATCCCAAACTTTCGGCGAAGAACTTCATATGCAATCTCGTCCACCAAGGTCTCAGTGTCGGATAATATCTGTTGGAGCATTTTCAGCCAAAGCTCAGTTTGTCTGCTGTGATATCCATCGCTGCTTTGAAGATCAAAGAGAACAGCTTGCAACTTAAGTAGCATAGTTGCCATTTTTTCAAGTTCTTTGTGTAAACCCAGTCTCCGATCGTCAGATATCGGAGGTATCTTGCTCAAGGTTCCAGAAAAAAGCACGATCAAAGTTTCAGCCATTGTCGTTGACCTTTGTGTGTCCGAGGAAAGAAACGCTTGCAGGTGTTGAGGGAATCCGAGGAGTTGTTCAGGCACTAAAAAAGGTCTCTCTACTTATGAGTTATGATCGAGAGCCCTTGATCATTCCAATCTGAAATCCTGACCATTAAGACAATTCACTAGAAGACAACAACGGGTCCCAGACAAGCTGGGAATTTCGTCGGTTGGGGCAAGTGCACCAGTTTGATGCGAATTTCTTGGGAAGTAGGCAGTGCTGGAGCAAGTGGATGGGCCTCACGAGTTCATTTCAAATAAGTTTTGCTCCGGATGTATCATGTAAGTGAGTTGCAATAATAAATTGGCGTTAAATACATGATGGAGATAGGACGGGGATGATCATCAGAAGGACCGTTTTGAACAGTTTACGATCAGAATTTGATTCATAAAAATTATATGGTTTAGATTACTTTTTATATCTCATTTTTAATAATATATGTGGGACTCATAAAAATTTGTTCTAAAATTACACGTTATACAAACAAAGTTACACGGTGTGTAAAATGCATAAAACCAACCGTTCCTGCTCGTGGTACATACATGATACACCCAGGATACATACTAACAAACAAAGACGCATGTTATTTAATTTAAATTTAAATTTAATTTTCAAATTTTATACATGTAACACGCATTCGTATTCATGTACACAAGTTTAATTGAATAAGTTATGAACAGAGTGTGGATTAGTTACAGGGTAATGTAAAATAATTTGAAATGACCATTTTACCTTGAAATGTAATGTAATGGAAGTTGTGAGGCCCCTAACCAACTGAAAGCAACCACGTTTCGGCTAATTTCTTAGATTATACGTAAAAAAAAAAAACAATCCATCAAATGCACCTCTGACATTGGGTGTTTCTTGTTCTATAGCGGCCGTGCTGAATCAGCACGGTCGCATAATAAAAAATTCCACCGTCTGCAAAAAATTCAGTTGCGCAGCAGTGTCAGGTGCGGACGTGCTGACTGGGCACGTCCGCACCTGAGCAAACAGACTGCTGGTCTGCGCAAATGTCAGGCGCGGACGTGCTGACTGGGCACGTCCGCGTCTGAGGAAACAGACTGCGCTTGTCTCTGTGTAACTTGCAGCATTACTTGCGCTGAAAGGTTTCGTAGAGTTATTAATTGATGTCAATTGCGATACCTTTTTTATTTTTATTTTTATCCTATTGTTTGTTTGGTATTTTCCCTTTATCCATCCAAATTCAAAGGCTTAAATTTTTTTTTTTGTCAAAAATGACATATCTATTTTATTTTTTACAAGATTACTGGCATAAGATTTTGTTTACACATTTATCCTTTTACTAATCTAGTTTGTACGTAATGGCAATTTAGAAAGACATTATTTGAATTGTCATTTTTAAAATATTTTTATATTTTTTGTGAATATACTTTTTCAATTACCTTTTTACTTTACATATATCATGTCGTTATGATAAATTTATTTTTTCCCAAAAATCCTAGAAAATAGCAACCTAAACGGCTCTTATATATGTTGATTTGATGTTGTCATAGTAAGTCGATTTTGAGACTAGTCATATTATTGGGTCGGATCTTACCCAAATCCAATATAATTGGATTGCATTTTGATTTAATTTCTTAAACTCAGACCCAGATCCCTGTAATTCCATACCAAAATCCAAACCCATGTATATATAATTAAATACTAGTGTGTGTGTGTATCTATACATATATACTAGTAAATATATAAAATAATATTGGACATTGATATAAAACTTTGAAAATAAATAGAAGTAGTTAATTTAGTTCATAATATTGCACTTCACTTCTTGAATATTAATTTTATTATTTGAAAGTAAAAATTGGATGATATTTATATTATTTTTGAACTCTACATGTTTTAATAATTTTTTATTTTAGTATGTTTAGAAAAACATAACGAATATCCGTTGGATATTATAAGGTTTGAGTCTGAATTTGCTTTTTAGACCCATAACAGTTTGGATTTGGGTTTGGATTTAATCAAATTTAATAGATCTAGATTTGGATAAAAGAGATTACACTCAGCTTGTACCTATTAACATGCCTAATCAAAAGAGAGAGTAGTTTCTTCAAAAAAAGAAAAAAGAGAGAGAGAGATAGAGTAGTTAAAAGAGAAGAGTAATTATGGGAGAGTGCCAATTTGTAGTCTGGCGTCTTCAATAAACAATAATAATGTCATACAACGTAAATTAAGTCAACGTAGCTTCCAAGATACTACTTAACCCCCCAAAAAAAAAAAGACTCCTTTTAATACACTCCTAAGTCATGAATGGTAGCATATGTACAAGTATAATCCCTTTACTATTTAGAAGGGAATTATAATCCCGCAGACCGGAAGTCTGTTTCCTCAGGCGCGGACGGATACGGGGCAGCCTGAGCGGTCCTCTCACAAAAAAAAATGAGAGGACTGCAATAGGCCACGTATAATGGGAGCAACAACAAAGGAAAACGACGTTGTTTTAGTAAGTGAGTAGGAAAAAAAATAAAAAAACATCTGAGGGGCTAACGGGCTCCGTTAAAATACCTCAGCTGTTCCGTTCCAAAAATTCCCGCTCAAATTAATGAGGCACGACTCTTCATCTGAAATTTTCAAATGAAATAGAATTTTGGTCTCCCTCCAAAAACATATCTTGTGAACATTCATTCACAATTCCAGAGTATCAGCAAAATAATATCCCTACCCCAAATTGGGAAGTTTTAGATGAGAGGTTTTTGGAGAAAGTGTATAGTGTTGCAGAAGTAACTGTTGCGGGACAAAAATTTTTCATGAAGGCTGCAACAAGACGGAAGTTGGTGAGATCTAAAGCAAAGATAGGCTCAATCGAATTGGACTAAACCCCAAAGGTAAGAATATTGCAAACTCATTGCACTATTTGGCTTGTTTTGCGACAGAAGAGGGATGAATTTACTTGCATGATTTTGTTTGTACAACTCGTTTAAGACAGTGTGACATGAATAATGAAATTGAAATTCTGGCGAAAACTCCTAAACAAGGAAATCATATGGGTAGCATAAATTAGATACATTGAGAGCCAACTTAAAGAACGTATGCACAGGGAACTTATGCATGCCAAGTGTTTGTAAATTTGACTCAATTGATGAATTAAAGTTCTCACCTTTTAAAATCTGGTTGCATAGTATACATATATCTTGGCTAAAAGAGGTTGAATGGGGTGGCTTGCGTAGCAAAAACTATCAGGGTAGTTGATAAGTACATGTCTATCAAAATTTATAACCGCATGGCGAGAAATTTACATAACTTAGTTGTTTCTTTGAATTTGCAATTGGGTGTTGGTTCATCGGTAATGTTGTCTACATGGCACATAATATGATATTAAAATTGCTATACAGATGGTTAGTAATTATGTTGACTTCATCGTAGTGTGTATGTGTTGAAATGGGCCAAACGTGTACATAATTAATGACTTATGTGCAATCTTTTTGTTGATGGAATGAGTAAGTGCAATGGTTCACATTGTGATGACTGATGTACACGTGGTAATTGACAGAAAATGCAGTTGTTGATAGCAACAAGTTGACAGAGGATGGGATTCCTAAAACAGGAATGGGGTTTGATGCAGAAGATGAGGCTTATAAATTTTACAATACATATGGTTTTGTCATGAGTTTCAACATCCAAAAAGACTACTTGAACAAGGACTAGGATGGCTTGACAACATCAAGAAGGTACACTTGTTGTAAGGTATCCCATAATACTTGTGTATGCTTACATGGTCATAAATTATAGAAGTTAGCTTATTGTTTAAATTTGCAATTAATTATTGGCCCTTACATACTATCACGTACATACACATAATGTGAAAATGAATTTGGGTTAATATCAGAAACCTCCCTTGAGGTTTCTTCTAATCACATCTAGCACCCCCATGTTTTTGAAATCACACTTAGCACCCCTGGAATGACAACTTTGGTTTCTTGTCAGCCCCTCTATTTGAAAATGGTAGTAAAAAATGAATTGTAGGAGAGAGACTTTATTTTTGTTCCACTTTTACCCAAAGCCCAAAATGATTAGTGAATTTTAGAAGATAAAAATAGAAATAAATAGGCATATGATATTAATTTAGAAGCTGAGGGTGTAAAAGTGTAATAAAAAGAATGTTATAACTAATTATCAGAGATTTTGGCGATATAGAGATGCATAACTAATTATGGACCTGGGGCCGGAACGGTTGCACTCCGGAAGCTTGTGTGCATTTTGCACACGGTGTAACATCATTTGTACACGTTGTAACACTAGAATAACAGTGAGTAATTATACTACCTTTAACAGCAGTAACCGTCCCTGCCCCTTCTCCACTAATTACATAGTCCATGATACTACATTGGATCAATCTAGTAACATGATACGTAAGCCTTATATTGCAATCCAATTCTGAACAAAAACACCATCTACAACTAGTTGTTTAGATGGTGAGGATTGCAATGCACAAAACTATACACAAGTAGTTCTAAGATTAGTCAAACAGCACCATAAGTGGCAGGAAATATAAATCAGATGCACATTGCACCACTTATCAAAAAATTGTCCACAAAAGCTAACATTGCTTCAGTATTGCTGGGAGCTAAGAAGACTAGTACCTAAACTACTTCAGATACCACAAGCAAGGATTGCGGGGAACCTTTAGCACTCTCAAAACATCATAGAGAAACTGCTGGTTATAGTGTTAGAGGCCACTATTGCTGCAGTATTAATGCTAACAGAAGCTTCGGCTTGAGATCCACCATTTAGAGTAGCTTGAGCATTTGGTACAAAGGGAATTATACCTTGCTTGTTTACAGCAGCATTGGTTTTCATTGAAGACCTTCCTCTCTGCATCAGAAAAGAACAAATTTAAACTTTTTTGCTGCAAAACTTTAAATTACTCCAATAGTGCACTAGTTCTGAATTTTGCAGCAGCAATGTATGACATTATAATGCTTACCCTCTTAGTAGAAGTGCTTGTGCTAGCCTGCAAATTAACTTGCACATTGACAACTGCATCTTGTTGGCGAAAACTTGGATTACTCCCCTGACTTGAAACAACCACTGGCACATTTCCTTGTACCTGATCCTAGATCACAGAAGACATGATAAACAAGTTAATAATATGTGCAACGTATATACTTTGGTACATGATCAGATGATCAGATTGAACTTAGTTACCCAAAGCACAGCCCCTGCCAATCCCGTGTTAGCTATGCCTCTACCAGGCTTTCCTCTCCTTAGAGCACCCTGCATTGTAACAACTTCAAAATTGAGCATA